TCTCGGAGCGATTGATAGCGTTTCCAAACCCTCACAGGTGCTGGAGTGGCAGTGGAGCGCTGGAACACGGTTTGTTGTTTCTGGAGCGTCGGAGAGGAGAGGAGTGTGGCTGGACTCCTCACAGCTGACACTTTCAGGAAACACTCTTTCAGGGCTGGAAGAGAGGTAGAGAGAGAGAGGGAGAGGGAGAGAGAGAGAGAGAGAGAATAGGAGAGAGAGGTAGGGAGGGGTAGAGAGGTAGAGAGTATAGGAAAGAGAGAGAGAGAGAGTGAGAGGTAGAGAGAGAGAGAGGTAGAGAGGAGTAGAGAGTATAGGAAAGAGAGAGAGTGAGAGGTAGAGAGAGCGTGAGAGGTAGAGAGAGAGAATAGGAGAGAGAGGTAGGGTGGGGTAGAGAGGTAGAGAGTATAGGAAAGAGAGAGAGAGAGAGTGAGAGGTAGAGAGAGAGAGAGAGGTAGAGAGGAGTAGAGAGTATAGGAAAGAGAGAGAGAGAGAGTGAGAGGTAGAGAGAGAGAGAGGTAGAGAGGAGTAGAGAGTATAGGAAAGAGAGAGAGAGAGAGTGAGAGGTAGAGAGAGAGTGAGAGGTAGAGAGAGAGAGAGGTAGAGAGGAGTAGAGAGTATAGGAAAGAGAGAGAGTGAGAGGTAGAGAGAGAGTGAGAGGTAAGAGAGAGAGAGGTAGAGAGGAGTAGAGAGTATAGGAAAGAGAGAGAGTGAGAGGTAGAGAGAGGTAGAGAGGAGTAGAGAGTATAGGAAAGAGAGAGTGAGAGTAGAGAGAGGTAGAGAGGACTGGAGAGTATAGGAAAGAGAGGTAGAGAGGAGTAAGAGAGAGTGGTAGAGAGGGCTGGAGAGTGTGAGAGAGGTAGAGAGTAGGAGAGAGGAGTAGAGAGAGGTAGAGAGTATAGGAAAGAGAGAGAGAGTGCTAGAGAGGGCTGGAGAGTAGGAGAGAGAGGTAGAGAGGAGTAGAGAGAGGTAGAGAGGAGTAGAGAGAGTGGTAGAGAGGGCTGGAGAGTATGAGAGAGGGAGAGAGGAGTAGAGAGAGGTAGAGAGTATAGGAAAGAGAGAGAGAGTGCTAGAGAGGGCTGGAGAGTAGGAGAGAGAGGTAGAGAGGAGTAGAGAGAGGTAGAGAGTGTAGGAAAGAGAGAGAGTGGTAGAGATGGCTGGAGAGTATGAGAGAGAGGTAGAGAGTAGGAGAGAGAGAGGTAGTGAGTATAGGAAAAAGAGAGAGAGAGAGTGAGAGCTATAAGCTATCTGGGCATCGACATCAGCGCTTCGGGACGCTTCGGTCTGGCTGTTAAAACACTCAGTGAAAAGGCTCGGAGGGCTTTTTATGCTATAAAGTCACGATGCGGGCACTTAAAATTACCCATTAAAACCTGGATCAAATTATATAATTCAATAATAAAACCAATTATTTTATATGGATGTGAAATTTGGGGACCAGTACAAAATTTTAAAAATTGGGATAAAACACCAGTAGAAAAATTACAATTGGAAATTGCCAAAAATATATTTTAGGGGTTCACCGAAACACATCCACTGCCGCCTGCAGGGCTGAGCTAGGCCTGTACCCGCTGAACATCGAGATCCAGAAGAGATGTGTTCAGTTCTGGCATCACCTCCATCAGTCTGATCCAGAGTCAGTCCAATATAAAGCCCTCCTCGCCAATGAAAGCTCAGCAGAACTGAGCGACACTGTCAAAATGTCCTTCTTACTGGGAGAAGATGTTAATACAGGTGCACTAGCGGCTAAATATGTGCTAGCTATTCACAACGCCAGAGACAGCTAATTCTCCAGAGTGATCAAATGTATTTATTTATCTATTTATTAAGATAGATTGTGTTTATTTATCTATATATTTACAATGCTACATATGACATGATTTATACATATATGTTCACTGTTTGTTTTATTATTTATATTTAATATGCTTTGGCAACATTGTGTTACACAGTCATGCTAATAAAGCTAATTTGAAATTGAAATTGAGTGCTAGAGAGGGCTGGAGAGTATGAGAGAGGTAGAGAGTAGGTGAAAGAGGTAGAGAGAGGGGTAAAGAGAGGCAGAGGGGGTAGAGAGAGGTAGAGAGGGCTGGAGAGTATGAGAGAGGTATAGAGTAGGTGAAAGAGGTAGAGAGAGGGGTATAGAGAGGCAGAGGTGGTAGAGAGGGGTATAGAGTGGTATAGATTGGGAGAGAGGGGTAGAGAGAGGGATAGAGGGGTATAGAGAGGTAGAGAGTGGGATAGAGGGGTATAGAGAGGTAGAGAGTAGGTGAGAGAGGGGTATAGAGAGGCAGAGGTGGTAGAGAGGGGTATAGAGTGGTATAGATTGGGAGAGAGGGGTAGAGAGAGGGATAGAGGGGTATAGAGAGGTAGAGAGTGGGATAGAGGGGTATAGAGAGGTAGAGAGTAGGTGAGAGAGGGGTATAGAGAGGCGAATAGAGAGGCAGAGGGGGTAGAGAGTGGTATAGATTGGTAGAAAGAGGCAGAGGGGGTGTAGAGAGTTGGGTATAGAGAGGTAGAGAGAGGTAGAGAGAGGTAGAGATTGGTAGAGAGCCAAACAAGACCACCCTTGTGTTTCTATGACACTTCTATCCGGACATATAGAGGGGTATAGAGAGGTAGAGAGTGGGATAGAGGGGTAGAGATAGGTAGAGATAGGGGTAGAGAGAGGGGTAGAGAGAGGGGTAGAGAGAGGGCAGAGAGCTGGAGAGAGAGGAGAGGTTCCATGTTGGAACAGGAAGGGGCATCCCCAAACTGGGAGCATGAAATTGTCCAAAATGTCTTGGTATGCTGAAGCATTTAGAGTTCCTTTCACTGGAACTAAGGGGTCAAGCCCAACCCCTGAAAAACAACCCCACACCATAATCCCCCCTCCACCAAACTTTACACATGGCACAACCCAGACTCTTACGCCACTGCATAAGATGCCTTGCATTGCACTTGGTGATGTAAGGCTTGGATGCAGCTGCTCGCCATGGAAACCCCTTCCATGAAGCTCTACGCTCTTGAGCTGATCTGAAGGCCACATGAAGTTTGGAGGTGTGTAGATATTGACTCTGCAGGAAGTTGGCGACTTCTGCACACTGTGAGCCTCAGTGATTTTACGTGGCCATAATTGCTCAAATGAATCAGTATTTTGAAATGACTCATGAAATGACTCAATACTCAGAGTGAACCGATTTGCTCAAATGACAGATTTTTTGGACTTGATTTAATTAAATCTTCAAACAATTTGCTCATATGAATGATTCTTTTGAACTGTTTGATTAAATCGAACTGTCTGATAACTACAATTTGCTCATTTGAATTGCTGTTTTGAACTGGTTTATTTAAATGACCCATCCGAACAATCAAATAGTATTTTGGACAGATTTATTTAATCAAACCCTCCGTTGCTTTAATGAAACAATATTTTGAACCGGTTCACTAAATTGAACATCTAAAAGAACCCGTTTACTCAAATGGATCACTATTTTGAACAGTTAGATTAAACTGAACTGTTCAAACAAAGCATGATTCAGTGTTTTGAACTGGTTCAGTAAATGGAACCATCTCAACAAACCTGTTTGTTCAAAGGAATCATTTGTCTCAGCACTATCATTTAGCTGCACTAAAAAAGCAGCTTGGATAGTTAAGCTGCTCATCCATGGCTGTCAACACCATCTTATCAGCCCGCTTTAACCTTTCTTTCTCCTCTCCTTCATCCAAGATGTCACTCTTTAAACCCATCTGTCATTCTCTCCATAATATATTCCTCAGTGTTTATGGACTAAAATCTGACAGGAGTGAAAACGCAGATGTGAACGTGGTGTGCGATCAGCCTCCGACTGTTCCTTGGCCTGCAAACACTCGTTTAGCAGAGATTTTTGCTCAAACACAGGGATGGATGGAAATCTTGGCCGTCCTGACCAGACAAAACGATCATTTAGAAGATTCACCTAGAGCGTTGAGCGCTCTGTTTGCATAGCTGCTCTCTTTTTATGTCTCTGTGTGTGTGTGTGTGTGTGTGTGTGTGTGTGTGTGTGTATGGATGTCTTGGGCATTAAAATGAGTAGTTTGTGAAGGCCTGGCCTGGGTAATTGGCACCGTGTGTTGGATGAAGGTCGTATGAAGACTGCCTCAGAATCCCAAGTAGGGATGGGAATCGTACGAAAAAGAATGATTATGCCTCCGAGTTTGTTCTTGATTGCATTTAACTTGTAGATTCAATAGTGCTTCAGCACAATATAGCTCTCCAACCCTGTGTGACTTCCTTTCTTCTGTGAAACACTGAAGGAGATGGAAAAGATAAATAAGACTTTTTTTTTTTTTTTTTTAGGGGGGGACTATCCCTTTAAACTTTTCAGCTTTAATTATGAGTGTTATGGTGTAACACTCTCCCAGTAGTTTGAATTTATTTACTTCAACGTGTCCATTCAGCTTTACATCGTATGTGACTGTTACAGCGTAGTCATTTTTTAAAGTTATTTTTTATAATAAAAGAGTAAAAGAACATTTCCACTTTAATTGTTTAATTTAATTATAATTATGAAGTTGTTTATGTGAGTCAAATGCCATTCGGAAAATTTAACTGGTTCTCAATAAGAACTGGTTCTTTATTCTGAGTCCTACATGAATTCATTCATTCATTCTTTCTTTCTTTCTTTCTTTCTTTCTTTCTTTCTTGCTTTCTTTCTTTCTTTCTTTCTTGCTTTCTTTCTTTCTTTCTTTCTTTCTTGCTTTCTTTCTTTCTTTCTTTCTTTCTTGCTCTTTTAACCAGTTCCCAATCCACGTACAAAATTTCCCAGATTGAGCAGTCAGTTTTTTATTTTATTTTATTTTATTTTCAACATTTTAATTTTAAATTTACGTATATAATGATAAAAAATTTCAAAAATCTACCAAAAGCATAGTCAATTGATTTATTACATTTTTTTCAATTTTATTTTTATTTATTTTTATATATTTTATATATTTTTCTTTCATCAACATTTTAATTTAAAATGTACATATACACTGATTCAAAAGTAAAAAAATCTACTGATTGCTTAGACCATTTATGTCAGCTATCCGCATCAATGCGTTCACTTGTTTATTTACATATATTCACATGTGGCCATATTTGTACTTGTCCTCATAGATTACATTTACATTGAATCATTTAGCAGACGCTTTTATCCAACAAATGAGGAGAGCAATAAAGCAATCAAACCAGCAATAGGGCAGCAATATACAAGTGCTGTGACTAGTGCCAGTTAGTCTAGCACAAAACTCTTATTTTTAATAGATATATAGAATAGTAAGTGTGTATAGCTTACTAGGGCTGTCACTTTACGTTCGAAAATCGATTACACAATCGATCGGACCAACCAACACACGTTTCGAAAACGAAAATAGGGAATCGATTTTAACGGCCTTTTTTAACCAACAATGTGTTTTAGGTGGACAGATCAATACAGCACACAGAACATGTAGGATGCTGGAAAATAACAATGTCTTTTCTGCTCACCAAATGCTTTTTAATATTCGCTATTGCTTCAGTGCAAGTGAACAAGCGCGCCGTTATTTGTTGCGTAGTGACGTGTGTGTTCAAGTAAGCCAGAAATGCGCAGATTCTGCAATACACTGTATTTAATGTATCATGAGGACTCACGAGTTGCGTATTTGCGCAGAGTTGGCTTACATGAACTTCCCCAGCAAAGCGAGTAAACATAGAAACTAGGCAAATTGGCTCGTGGTTCATTTTTACCCACATTTGGCGGGTCGAGAGTGTTAATCTCAATCCCTGAATGTTGCGCTCCTGTTTGTCATTGTGCTGAAACTTCACGCCAATAAATCATCAGAAATATTGCTGACTTGTGCGTCTCAAGCGCCTCTTTACGCTCGTCCTAATGCCTGTTAGGTGTCCGTGGATTTGCCTGTATCTGGTGTTGGAGATGGAAACGTCTTTAGACATGGAAAATCGATTTTAACATCGATTCAATGAACACTTATGTCTCAAAAATCGAACAGGATTTTTTCACAAAAGTGACAGCCCTATAGCTTACAGGAATGGATTTACATGACAGAAAACTAGTTCTTCCATTTAATAGCAATTTGTGTGTGCACGCAACCGTATTGAGCCCTCCAAACAGGCCATATTCTGCTGCTGTGTGAATGACACACTCAGACACACACTATAGGCCACTCAACCTCCCCCAGTCACAAACAGCCTCATTCAGAGTGAATGGCACGTTCCTAATCAGCGGAGTCTACTTGAGCCACTGAGCTGTTCCACATGTGCAGGACGAGCCTCAGATCAAGCTAGAGAAGGACAAAGCCTCTTTCTGCACACAGGTGTATGCGAGTGAAGTGTTCAAGCGATCTGCCCCTCTCCGAGCGGGACGCCTGAGTGAGAGTCTTTGTGCTGATGCAGCGTTTGCCACGTCTGGCACTTGCTCTGTTTGTTTACGTCTGGATTGTAATTGAAAAGGCCGTTTAGGCCGGTCAATCGTTACGCACACGCAGTGTTTGTGCTTCAAAAATCTGTCATAAATATGGATTTCCAATGGGAAAGAAGGGACACACAACCTGATACATGTTAATTATACTCTTCAACTTAATTCTTAAAACATTTGGCTGTCATGGTGTGATGTGTATGTGATTTCTGCTTGAAAAATTCAAGGGAGAAAAACGTTTTTACCTTAATTTATTTAATAATATTTTAAAATAGTAAAGGCCTTTTCCGAAGACATGTAATTGGTGTTTGGTGGGTTTAGGGCATTTTAGGGTGTTGTGTGGTAGTTTTAGGGCATTTTAGTTTTTTTTT